ATAGAGAAAATAATGATTGAAATTCATGTAGTGTATTCCGTTTAATCATCAGTCAATTGAAGCAAGACCACCATGGAAAACCTGGAAGAACTGGACGGCCGTCTTGTCCTAGTATGGGACTCCTCAGCAGTGTGCACTACGGTCGCGCCCCTCGCGAGATTCGAACCCAGGACCTATCAGTCTCCCACCAGGCGGTTAACCAACTAGACCACTGAGATGGCCGGCATTCAACGGTGTTAATGTCTAACCTCAACCAATCCTCGAAGTTGCGCCACCGTACACTATTGTCTTCAGTGAGTTGATATCTCATTGCTTACATCGTATGATACTTAAACATCATAATTACATAATGGGTATAAATGGCTCATATGAGATGGTTTAGTTGGAAGTTATACTGAAGACATATTAGTATAGTATAGTAAGAGTGAAAAAGTGTTTAAAAATACTCAATATTGTAAATATATATACCTTATGTAAAAGAATATTCTACAATATTGATTGGAACAAAAGTTCAAAGGGTCAAAATCAAGTGATTACATTGTAGCGTGGCGTCGAGTTGAGGTTAACTATGAACACCGCTACAAAGAAACACGTGCCAAATAAATCAGAAGGCGAGGGTTGGACGTAACCAAATAGATCCATAAAATCCCCGAGAAGCCAAATACCAGAAGGCAAGTAATGGACCAAGTCGAGTTATATTTGCTGGCGATCTCGTGGCATCGAAAGGATACCGAGATCGTGCCAGGATACAACCTTGGTTACAGAATGTAACCGAATTCGCGCGAAGTTACAATCAAAAGTGTGAATATAAGAATGGAAGCACAAAATAGCTGTCATTAGCACAGTCAAACAAAAGCACGTTAAAACAAACACTGGTACAGTTGGTTATAATAATAATTGTTTTTATTAAACCAGTCGTGTTCTCGTGATAAACGTGAGTCACTACAACATAATGAGTAAATGCTGATAAGAAACTGATGAGTAAAGCTCAGTTAATAAAATAAAATTGCTTCCGGGTTTCACATGATGGTTTAGCTTCAATTAATTCATGAATTCAACTATTAAATTACTATAATATCCACAAAATCCCTCTCTGATTATAATGCTCATATGCTCATAAGTGATGGTCTCCAATAGGTATTTCCTGAAGTTCTAAAGTGAGAAGCAGTGACCAGTGCAGTTCAACCAGGTCTGTTGTGAGATAGTAACTCACTGATGACAATGGTGGACAGTGGCGCAACTTCGTGAATTAGTTGAAGTTAGACATTAACACCACTGGATGCTAGCCATCTCAATGGTCTAGTGGTTAGGCATTCATGCGCGGAACAGACAAGTCCTAGGTTTGAATCTCGTGAGGCGGGAACAAGGATGCGCAACGCTGAGGAGTCCCACAATAGGACGAAATAGTCATCTAATGCTTCCAGGTTTTCTATGATGATCTAGCTTCAATTGACTCATGATCTCAACCAATGAAATTACTATAATATTCACAAAAATCCCTTCTAAAAAACTAAGTTATTAGATTTTGAGACGTTTCATGACTTAGTGTAATCCACTACTTAGAATAACCAAATCTAGTTTAAATAGTACAAAAGAACAACGTAAGAATATTATGTACGATCATTAGAAAAAACAGGTTTGAACAAGCTAATGTCATATCATTTCAGTCAATGTGATTAATATGCGACATGTTTGTATATTTGTAAGTATGTATGTATAGTAAAGACGGCCTATGCTCCTTCACGAGGAGTAACAGGCGTAAGTAAGTAAGTATGTATAGTAAAGAATGGAAAAATGTGAGCGTTTTAGTAAGAAAGGATAAAGTTAAATTTGTATGTACGATGACGGTGTGAATTATGCATAGAATTAAACATGGTAACTCGAAGAGATGGTTCACGTCGAATATATACTGAAGTCTTCTTTTCCATTGAGGGTAATAGGATTAATCAATATATGAAAGGCTTCAGCTACTCACCTTTCTTTGTAGTTGGAAAAGCTGTTTTGAATTATTTCGATGTTTTCAATATCCATTTGATGGTTATTAAAAATAGCATAAAGTGCTATTACCGATTTAAATTGGAGTCTTTTTAGTACTACAGGATCATTAGGCGGTTTGGTTGAGTACTTAAGATGCTCTTCGGTTTGAGTAAAGATTTCTCTGAAGAAGTGGCTTGCATTGGCTTATACATAACAAGTGTGAAATGTATGTCAAATATTAAAATTTTGATCATGCGCTCTCTAGGCAATGGATAAGTCAGAGAAATTTAGCGATAAAACAATGTATTAGTCAGTATAAGGGTTGTGTAGATCATTAAGTTTTTGATTGAGATCATGAACTGATTGATGTTAGACCACCGTTGAAAACCTGGAAGCACTGGACGACCGTTTTGTCCTATTTTGGGTCTCCTCAGTGGCAGTGCGCATCCACGATCCCGCTCGCGAGATTCGAACCCAGGGCCTTAAGTCTCGCGTGCGAACGCTTAATTTCTAGACCAGTGCGATGGCCGGCATCCAGTGTCTAACCTCAACCAATCCACGAAATTGTGCGACCATCTTCGATTGTACTGAGGTAGATACCTGTCTCTACCCGAAATGGATTAGCTCCACTGGTCACGGCCTTTCACTAGAACTCCGAGAATTCCTTCACGAAGCTAGCCACTAGTGAGCATATTGTTAATTATCAGTATAGGGGTTGTGGAGCTTTGTATTTATGACAAAGATAAACAGATATGGACAAATTAAATATTTTTATTGAATAAAATATTCTAATACCACATGACATGACATTTATCAGTCACCATTTACTCCATACTATAGGTTGGAATAAAATATAGTTTCTTAACATGATACTAAGCCTTCTGAGCACACGTCCAAGTGATCTGCACTGCCCTCGTAAAAAACTTGAAATTTTGTTTAAATTGTTAACCTACTAACAAATTTTAAAGTAGTGTAAAGATACACAAAAAAGTCTTCAATGCAGTAAACTATAGTTCAAGTTGACTATAATTTATGGACGACCATTGAGCCACTCCAAAGAGACCATGAGAGTGTCCACCTAATAACCAGGGCCAAGTGAGGGTTATAAACCTGTGTGAGGATTATGATTTACATTTGATGGTTAGGATAGGGTTTTCATCACGAACTGACATAAGCTATAATGACAAAACTCTATTTATCTAAATGGATGGGTGAATTTTGCGCCAAAATTCGAGATCTGTTATCTTATACCTGATTGGTTTGCTCATTAATTATAATCTCGCCAATAGCGGTAAATTTTTATCAGAATGGGGTTTGTGGAGATTTTAGCAATTTTAATAGTTGAATTCATAAGTCGATGTAAGCTACCATCCAAGGCTTTCAGGTTTACCATGATGATCTAGCTTACATTGACTCATTAATTCAACTATTAAGACGATAAATTTATCAGAATTTGGGTTAGTATCTTATAGTACATATTTCAACCTCAGTTAGTATGGGATATATTGTAAAACCCGAAATTTCAGGTTTCAGTAGTTAGAGTATTCATGGAAATATCATACAGAAGGGAGCACCAGTTCCTTCAAGATTACAAGTACACTTTGCTGAAGAGTGCCGAGTAGTACGAAACCCGAGTCCAGGTTTTCTTGTTGACTACCTCAAAACCACCATCTAATCTCAACATATTGCATGTAATGTTGAGTCACCTAGACTTGTGGCCACATTGCAACTTGATCAATAGCATTCTATCTGCACTAAGCAGGACTTGACATACATAACATTGATCACCATCCACTGACCAATCAATTATGATTACAGAAGGGTTTTGTGATTGCAAGAAAATACCGTAAAACGATGACTAGTGGGATGTTTCTATTTTGAAAATTTTCGACATACAATACCGCTAATAGTTCCGTTAAACTCAACTTGTTTATGTTTCACCAGAAACCCAAATAGCACGTAAGCGATCATGTCTATCAATTTACATGTGTGTGCCAAAACACTTAAATAGGGGGAAGCAATCGTAATCTGCAAGTAAGAGTGGTAGAGTACATACCCAAATGACTTCAGAAACAAATGAATTCCAATGGTCAAATAAGATCACAGGATAGATAGACATCTTCCTCCATTATGAAACATTTCTTTGAAACTGGTCTTAAGGTTGACATCAAGTCAGCATTTGTAAAAAAGCCTTCAAGGGTGTATTCCCCCTTCCAACCAAACAAGTTGGTGAAGCCTAGTAAGCCCTTCTGGAGAGAAACAGGCCACATATAAGCACGACACAACTACAAGGGCTAGAATAGCTGTTTTTACAATCGGTTGGAGTTTAACCTGTAGGGAGCAACTCTGTACATTCCATACAGCACTTTTGTGAATTTTTTGTGGGAACCGGTCCAGTGAGTGATTAGTTAGATCTCTACCACCCGGGTTACCGTTCACGTTAGTTCATGGGACTGAGTCCCACTATCCAGGAGGCACGATGAAAACGTGTGAGTCGAGTTTTGCCTCCCTCAAGGGCGTATACTAAGGTTTATTGAAGCCTTGGCTATATGGAAACTGAAACCTCTGTTATGTGTTCCAAAAAGCAATTTGTTCTTATCCTTAACCTACCCTGGTATTACTGATTTATACTCCTTGAATAACATTTCCAAACCCTAATGTTTCCGATTACTGCTTATACTTTTATTACCTCTATCACTATGGGATTTGAATCGACAATTGTATCGCCGTGTTAATGTGATAGACGTTATTACAGAAATATATTAGTTAAAGTAGATACAAACGAAAGTAAGACCACCACCACATGGGCTAGTTCATTACGTATGATGAACTGATATGCGTTGGTTGTCTTTGACTTTGACATGAATCGACCATCTATTCGATATTCAATAACCCAATTGCCAGATGATTTGACTAGGGCTCAGTAACAATTCACTGGCCTTACAGACTAATTGTTTTAAATTATCGAATGACCTTGAAAATCGATTATGGTTACCATGGTAACAACAATATCTGTCTAGGTCAAAACAAACAATTGATCTTTATGTTTTATTCATTCATTTCTTATTTTTACTCACATTGAAGAAGTTGAATAGTGGAAGATTTTCTTCTTTTTTTCTTGGAACTTATTATTGAACTTCTTGAATAATTTCCTAAAATAAAAATAGAATATATTTTCTTATGGCAAGTAAAAAGTCTCCAAGTAATCTATCTAATCGTAAACAAAAAGAGTAAGTTTCATTGAATGTTTTATATGAATGAATATTTAATTATTTCAATGGTTGAAATCATGAGTCAATAGAAGCTGGGCCACCATGGAAAACCTGGAAACACTGAATGGCCGTTTCGTCCTGGTATGGGACTCCTCAGTAGTGGGTATCCACGATTGTGCCCCCTCCGCGAGATTCGAACCTAGGACCTATCAGTCTGTTGTGAGATAGTAACTCACTGAAGACAATGGTGAATGTGTCGCTCAATTTTGTGAGTTAGCTGAAGTTAAAAATTAACACCATTGGATGCCGACCACCTCAGTGGTCTAGAGGTTAAGTGTTCGCGCGCGAGACCAATAGGTCTGGGCTGGAATCTTGCGAGGCGGGCTTGTGGATGCACACTGCTGAGGAGTCCCAAAATTGGATGAAACGACCGTTCAGTGCTTCTAGGTTTTCGATGATGGTTTAGCTTCGATTGATTCATGATTTCAATTATTGGAATTACTAGAATCTCCACAATACCCCTTCTGAGAACATTTAATTATTGATTATTGATTGTTAAGTAAATCATTTAATGAATTGGTTATCCTTAATTTATTAAATCAATAATCTATTTTATTTACTATTGAAGAATTATATTGTAAATCACCAACGTTGATGATCTATGTCGAATGATTGGAGGTGTACTGGAGTTGGATGAGAATGATGTGATGAACCAGCTAACATCGGAGTCACACCTCACGGTCAGCATCTTACGTTGATTACACCTTCGTCGTATCAAGGTACTACAGAAGCTTTGAAGATTGTACAACACAAAGGACCTTATTACAGAAACATATTAGTTAAAGTAGATAAAAGTGAAAGTAAGACCACCGCCGCATGGAACAGTCCATAGCGTACGACCAACTGATGAGCGTTGATTGTTATTGATCAACGCGAGGATCGATGATTTGTTTGATATTCAGTGACTTAACTGCCGGATGATTTGACTAGAGCTCAGTGATATTTCACTGGTTCCACAATATAAAGTTAGAGATGATTATGCTATCCAGGAAGAGACAGAAGTAACTTAATTTTCAAATTCATGAGTTAATTGAAGCTAGACCATTATGAAAAACTTGGAAATACTGGATAACCGTTTTGTTCTAGAATAGGACTCGTCATCATTGCGCACCAACGATCCCACACATTGGACTCGAACCCAGGACCTATCAGTGTCGCACGCGAGTGCTTAACCACTAGATGACTGAGCTGGCATCCAATGGTGATAATGTCTAACTTTAGCCAATCGTGGATGCACACTGCTGGGAAGTTCTATGCTGTGATGAAACGGCGGTTCAGTGCTTCCAGATTCCCCATGGTGGTCTAGCTTTAATTGAAGCATTAAATCACTATAATATCTACAAATTTTTGTTTACCTAATTATTTAAACACATAAGCATTGGTGCATGGAGGTATCAAACAGATATGCACCAGATAAATCGTTCGATTTCCTTGAGGGCTGGGATACTGTCCGGGTACCCAGACCGAAAAAGGTAGTTTACTTATGGCGCCATACTTGAAGACTTCGACCTTAAGGTTTGATCAACAAGACAGTGCAGAAAACTAAGGAGATACAGTTTCATGATAACCGGTGACCAATAATTGGTTTATACACCATTTGTTCATTCAGGATCCTGGAGCTCATGTACACCATTGATTTGGAATCAGGGTTTACCGATTCCCCAAGGTGTATCCTCCGTGTCCACCAACTCGGTTAAAGCGACGGACATTTTCTTTTTTTCCTCTCAATTTCATAAAGAAAGTTAATGCCACGAGAAGTCAGTGAGTAGGACTTTCCTGACAGTGATTGTATACTCACGGCCATTTAAGAGCATTTCGAGAGGAATAGTTGACTATCCCCACTCTCGAACGTATCATGGCATTTGGGAACTACATATTTTTCTACGAATATTGACTAATTACCAACTTTACATTTGACATAATTAAAACCCACTAATCATAAATGTTCATTAGAATTTCCTAAATATATCTCTATATTAGTTAACAATAAGAAACATGATTATACAACAAAATGTAATACTTTTATTCATACTTTTTTATTACTGACAAGTAGACTGAACCATGTTGGTTAGTGTAGACTACCTAGTTGGGAACCGCGAGACGATAGCAACCGATGGTTAGAGACCATGAATGACATGGCTCAAAATCTTTTGCAATGACGCAGGTGCATCCACTCTTTATATTCTCCCGAATTCTAATCTCCTGAATCCTACTTGTCTCCTTTTTTTCCCTTTTCAAACTTATTTCACTGGATTATAATCCTTGAATAATATCTTCAAACCTTAATCTTTCCGATTGCTGCTTATACTTTCACTACCTCTACCACTATGGGATTCGAATCGACAACTGCATCTCTGTGCTAATGTGGTATGGCATCTCGAACTGATGTATGTAAGTACGAATTTCTACGTTGTTACTGACTGACTGTCATGTGGCTCAGTGGTCTAGTGGTTAAGCACTCGCGTGCCAAACTCACAGGTCCTCAGTTCAAATCTCAAAAGGTGAGATTGTGGACATGCACTGTTGAGGAGTCTCATAATAGGAAGAAATGTCCATCCATTACTTCTAGGTTTTCCATAATCTTAACCATTGAAATTCTTATTCTAACAATACATTTATTATTTATTCATATTTAGAATTAATTTAACTAATCCATCATCATCTACACCAAGAGATACAACTATACCATTATGGCCTGAATGGAATGATCAAGATGTGAATAATGAAAAATGGGATTCATCACAGAAAACTAAAGAAAAGAGTAAATTATCAGCTGTACGTTATGGAAATTCTTTTTTTTTCTTCTTCTTCTTGAAGTACTTTTAATTGATTTTCTTTAGCAATCATCATCATCATCATCTACATATTTTATTGATCCAGAATCACAAGTTTTATATCCATCATCCATGATACCATTTAGTATGAAAAGACCAAATGAATTTATTACAGAAAAGGTAAATCGAATTCATTGATTATTATCAGAAGGGGTTTTTGTGGATATTATAGTAATTTCAATGGTTAAGATCATGAGTCAATTGAAACTAGACTACCATGGAAAACCTGGAAGCACTGGACGGCTGTTTCGTCCTATTATGGGACTCGTTAGCAGTGTGCAGGTCGTAGGGAGTGAGATCGTGGATGGGCATTGCTGGGTAGTCCCACAATGGGACGAAATGGCCGTCCAGGGCTTTCAGGTTTTCCATGGTGGTCTAGCTTCAACTGACTCATGATCTTAACCATTGAAATTGGTTGATTATTAGTGATAAATTTTATATGGAAAAAAACTAGATGCCATCTTTATGGGTACTAGTTAAGGATGACTAAACAATTGATGAAATGATGAAACTTAATCAGTTGAGATCACTGGGACATGTGTTACGTATGCCAGACCATCGATTGCTCCGACATGTGATGTTTTATGATGTAGAAGTAATTTGGAAGAAAACTAGGGGCGGCCAGACCAAAACATGGTACAAGTTCATGAAGTCACTGACAAGTGGACTCAGACATGTTGGCAGGTGTAGACTAACTGATTGGGATCCACGAGATGATAACAACAGATGGTTAGAGATCTTGAATGAAATGGCTCAAAATCATTCGCAATGGTTCAGGTGCATCCACTCTTTATGTTCTTCCAAATTATAATCTGGATTATTCATCTCGCTTTAATTTTTCTCTTTCGAAATTTATTTCACTGGATTATGGTCCTTGAATAACATCTTCAAACCCTAACCTTTTTGATTACTTCTTATACTTGTACTACCTCTACCAGTATGGGATTTGAATGGATAGTTGTATGTGTGTTAATGTGATATGGTAACTGGAACTGAAGTACGTACGTACGTACGTACGTACTAAGTTCTACGTTGTTGCTGACTGACTGACTGACTAGTTGAACAGACTGTATATATTCCAAGTTCAATTCTGTATTGAATTATGTGGAATCTTTCATGTATCTGTGAAGCATCATCGATCAACAAGTCAAGGATTGACAAACCAAGAACAGCATTTCCACAGCTGAACAACATATGGAACTCAAAACAACTTTCAACCGATATCAAAGTCAAAATCTTCATTAAGAAAATCAAGACAGTTCTACTGTATGGAGCTGAAACTTGCAGATCTATAACAACTATCATCCAAGTAGTTCATTCATTCATAAACAATTGTCTATGCAAGATACTAAATGTCTGTTGACGGAATACTATCATTAACAACCTGCTTTGTGAGAGGACAAACTAACTTCCATCTGAAGAGGAAATTAGGAAAAGACGTTGGAAGTTGATAGGAAATACATTGTAGGAATCACTAAACTGCATCATGAGACAAGTGCTAGCTTGGAGTTATGAAGAGAAGTGGAAAAGAGGAAGGCCAAAGAACACACTACATCGGAAATCGGAAGCTGCTATGAAATTGATGAATAGCAACTTATGAGAAATGGAAAGGATTGCCCAGTACACAATTAGATGAAGAAGGCTGATGATTGGCCTATGTTCCTCGACGAGCGGTAACCGGTGTAATTAAGTAATTAAGTAGTTTAATTAATTAATTAATTAAGTAAAAATTTTCCTTCAATTTCAGATATCGTTTGTATTCTATGAATATAGTTTTTCACCATACTGTCAAGTAAAACCTGTTACTTTGAATTGTACTTATTTACTTGCTTATCTAAACTTGTTGTTTCTCTTGAGACATAGGCTTCTGATCAGAGGTGTTTAGCTAACTCTATTCTGGGCTTTTGTTTTACTTGTGGCCAGCTGATATTCATGATTTCTAGATCTACTATCAATTCCTTGCATCAAGTTTTTTTGATCTACCTCTTTTCCTTTTGACTTGATGATCCCAGGTTAGGGCTTGTGTTGTGATGAAATTTAATGATTCTTTTAAAATGTTTCCTATCCACCTATAGCGTCTTTTTCTAATCCCCCCCCCTCGACTGGAAGCTCATTTGTCCTCTGCATAATATGGGTTCACTTTGTACCTGGTTGTATTAACTGTGAAGTTTAACTTAAAATGGGAATGTATCTATACAAAAGCTAGATGGTAAATAAAAGAATTAACTCCAATGTCCATCTTTAACTCAACTAGAAACATAAATGCCGACAGAAACCTTGATTACAAGTTTGATAATAGGAAAGTCAATGTATGGAATGGAAACGAACAAAGCACACCATATCTGTACATGAATTCAATTTTAAGTGTTAAGGATCTATGGTAACTCAGTGTTACAAACTATTTGACGCTGTTTCTATCAACATGATCACTTCGGAAGTAACTAAATTTCACCTTTGATAATACAGCTTACTATACAGTTATATTTTCTGTAATACTAGCTAGATTAGTCAAGAATCAGAAAACCTACTGTTAATTCTATCGAAGCGTCGAAGTAACCCCGATTGAGATACGCGCAAAATCGAAGTTCCAAAACAACGATTTGTCTACAAAGGCGCTACAAAGGCGGTTCTTTATTAAATAATACACAAAATTTAGTTACAAACCTCAACTTGTGAGGTGTCTAGGCGTTTAAACGCGTCGTTCAAGAATGAAAATAGCAAAGGCTTCCTGTAAGAGTAACATAAAGAATGATTACAACATACGATAGTCCAAAGACAGCCGATAGCTCTGTCTAAATTTGGTAACAGTTTATAAACAACCGAAACTCGAACCAAGAGCAAACAATATGGAAACTGTTGCATTCAAACAAATGCACAAAACTGTGGATAATCGTTACAGTAATTAAATTACAGTGATTATAATGATAAATACAATTATAAGTAAAATAAACGTTAAAGATACAGGTGAACATTCCAGAATGTTACAGTACAACTTGAGTTACAACATAAGTGTGAAAATTTTTGGGCATACAGCTGCCTACTGAATGTAAATAAGTAGTATAAAACAACATACAAAAGAGTAGAAAAGGAACATATAGGGACAATGTAAGACAAACTTAACACCTACTTTGTACTCGTCGTTGAATGAATTTCGCGCTAAAATTCAATATCTCTTATTTTACATTTTATTGGTTCGTCTATGAATTGTAGTCTCTCTGATTTTCATCAGTATGGGGCTGTAGAGATTGTTAAGTTTTCGTTTGAGATTATGAGTTGATTGATGTTAAACATGGAAACACTGAACGGCTGTTTCACCCTAGTACGGGACTCCTAGGCAATGCTCATCCAGTATGTCGCACGCAATATTTGAACCCATGACCTTTGATCCCGTACGCGAACCCTTAAACTCTAAACCACTGAGCCGGTGTCCAACGGTTCCATCGATTCATCATATGTTCACCAGTAACTGGCTCCAAGTTGATTTCCTGGAGTTCTAGTGAGAAGCCATGACTAGTGGAGTACAATCGGTGTCGAGTAGAGACAGGTATCTACCTCAGACAATAAATAAATGATTGCACAACCATTCATGAATCGATTGAAGTTAGACCTTAACATCGTCTGTTACCGGCTCAATGGTCTAGAAGTTAGGCGTTCGTGAACAAAATCGAAGGTCATGGGTTTGAGTTCTTCTGGTGGAGGATCATGGATGCACATTTCTGAGAAGTCTTTGATTTCCATCAACATTTTAATTTCAATTCAATTTATCCATTCTATTTATCATTTATTCTTTATTTTTTACTATAGGCACCTGTTGTATATGATCCAGAATTTGTAAATCATGTTGATTTACTCTATTATAATGAACATTTATTTAAAAATGAAGTAAGCGCCAAAATTTGTAGCCTTGACAACAACCAAATTACTATTATGATTTTAGTTATTAAGATGGATTATATGTGATATACAAAATTTATGGTTATCATGTAGAACACCAATTCCTGAATCTATTCCTCCGACAGAGTTCAATGAATCAAATATGATGATGAATTTAACTCATTCAACCAATTATAATTATGAATGGAAACCATGGGAACATATTTATGCCATGACAAAAATTACTAAAGATAATAATAATAATACACCACAATATAATCCTTATGGAAAATATATTGTCAAGCTGTATTGGATGGTATGTTGAATAATAGGCTTTTGTTGTATTCTGGTTTAATAATAATGCATTTAATGTTTAATAGTACATATACTTACTTAATTACGCCAGTTACTCCTCGTGAAGGAGCATAAGCCGCTCACCAACATTCTCCATCCAACCCTGTCCTGGACAATCCTTTCCAGATACTCCCAATTCCTATTGATCCTTTTCATATCTGCTTCTATTTCCCGACGTAATGTGTTCTTTGGCCTTCCGCTTTTCCACTTCCCTTCAGAATTCCAAGTTAGGGTTTGCCTCGTGATACAGTTTGATGATTTGCGTGAAGTATGTCCTATCCATTTCCATTGTCTTTTCCTAATTTCTTCTTCAGCTGGAAGCTGGTTTGTTTTCTCCCACAAAAGGCTTTTGCTGATGGTATCCGGTCAATGGATGTTGAGTATCTTGTGTGGACAGCTATTTATAAATACATGTACATGTTTGATGATGGTTTTAGTAGTTCTCCATGTTTCAGCTCCGTATAATAGAACCGATTGTGTTGACGTTCGTATTGAAGATTGTGAGTTTGATATTGGTTGACAGACGGTTGTTTTGAGTTCCATATGTTGTTCAATTGTAGGAATGCTGTCGTTGCGTTGCCAATCCTCACCTTTACGTCTGCATCTGATGCTTTCCAGTTATGTGAAGGATTCTACATCTTGCAGAGTTTCACCATCATGAATGATTGGATTGGTGTTCTTCGTTTTGAATTTGAGGATCTTGGTTTTGTCCTTGTGTATGCTGAGTCCTAGTGATGCAGAGACTGCTGCTACACTGGCTGTCTTTATCTGCATTTGATCATGTGTATGCGATAGGAGGGCTACATATACACTGATAGATTAGAAATAGTAACGATGATGGATTGAGAACAATGTATAGTATTTGATGTAAATCAAATGCTTTGGTACGGTCGAGGGTGGGGAGAGTTTGGTATCTCTTTCGAAATGCTCTCACATGGTCATGCATATATAGCCACCACCAGGGTAATCCTACTCATTACCTTCTTGAGACAGGGATGTTGTTTGTGAAATTGAGAGGACGAAAGTGGATAATCCGGAGCTTTAATTGGGCTGGTGGACACAGAAGATCTACATAGGGTAGTTGGAAAACCACGATTCCAAACCACCGGTGTACATGAGCTCCAGGAACCTGAAGGAACAAATGGCGTATGAACCAATTATTGGTCTCGGGTTATCATGAAACTGTATCTCCTTAGGTTGCTCCACTGCCTTGGGGACCAGACCTTAAGATCGAAGTCTCCGAGTGTGGCCCCCTAAGTAAACCATCTTTTTCGGTTAGGGTACCCGGAAAGTATCCCAGCCTTCACACACATCAGTTGGTACATCGTTGGTACATATTTCTACTTGTACTAAACCGTAAAAGATGAAATGATTATGATGTGATGAGCTTTTAGATTCAATTCCTCTTTTGTATATATTAAAGTGAAGCAGTTACAGATGACAAATTGCTATATCTGACTGGAATTAATATTAACTCTATATTTTGGGGTTCATCGGCAACTTCTAGAATATTTTGTTTGGTCATATTGTGGTATATGCTACTGATATCGGTAGATATAAGTAGTATGTATCATCAATCAAAAGTGAAACGCCTGGTGGCAGAAGGTTAAAGAGAATGAGAGTAAAGAGTGATTGATGTGGAAACGAAAGAACAATGAAGTCTGAGACAATTGATGAACATTCTACAAATGGATTATTTACTGTATAGTTCTCAGATTTTACTAAGCGTTTTTGTAATTTTGTATTCAAAAGTAGTGAATGAGAACACAAGTGGGGACAATCGAATGTATTTGAACACAAAGATATAGAATCACCTAGTCAAATCTGAGAACTATACAGTGAATACCTTGTTTACAAAATGTCAATTAATTGTCTCAGACTTGATTCTTACTTCGTTCGCACGTTAATCATTCTCTGTTCACGTTCTGTTCTCTTCGATCTTCTTAATCTTCTACCTCCAGGCATTGCACTTTCTACTAATGACACATACTAGTTATATCAGAAGAAATTTTTGTAGATAATATAGCAATTGTAAGAGCTGAGATTATAAGTCGATTGAAGATAGGTCATCATGGAAAACCTGGAAGCACTGGACAGTCTTTTCGTCCTATTGTATGACTCCTCAACAGTGAGCATCCACGATCGCACCTCACGCGCCAACAGTTAAGCTCTAGACCACTGAGCCGGCCGGCATTCAACGATGTTAATGTCTCATTTCAACTAATCTACGAAATTGAGTGATATATCGACCATTATCATCAATGAATTACTAACTCACAACAGACTCGATTAAACTTCACTGGTCATTACTTCTCACTAGAACTTCAGGAAATACGTTTTGAAACTAGGTTTTCAATATTATTTACTTAATTAAGCCTGTTACTCCTATTGGAGCATAGACCGCCGATCAGCATTCTCCAACCCATTCTATCTTTGGCCTTCTTTTCTAATTCCAGCCAATTCTTGTTCATTTTTCTCATGTCTATCTCCATTTCTCAACGTAATGTGTTATTTAGTCTTCCTCTTTTCATTTGGCCTTGAGGATTCCATGTGAGAGCTTGTCTTGTGACGCACGAACTTGGGTGCTTTCCTCAATGTGTGTCCTATCCACTTCCAGCGCTTCTTCCTAATTTCTTCCTCCAATGGGATCTAGTTTGTTCTTTCCCACAGTTGGTTGTTGCTAATAATGTCCAGCCAACGGATCCGAAGTATTTTTCGTAGACAACTGTTAATAAACAGCTGTGTCTTCTGAATGTTGGCTTTCGTAGTTCTCCATGTTTCTGCCCCATACAGTAGAACTCCACCTGGAGTACCTCCGAGGGCTACTGCCGGTCCCAAGACCGAATAAAGGAGGAGGATTGGGCATGGGGTTAGCGACCCCATCTTATAGAAAACTAACTCGCTAAAAAAACGCAAACCAGAAAAAAAATTATTAACTTTTCAATAGTGGTCCATTAAAACTACTTATATCTATCGATATCAGTAGTATATAACATAAAACTACATTCTATTATTCTATTATTATCTCTATCAATATTTCAAAATGAACTATCAAATTAATTCATTCTTTTGTTATTTCTAGGGTTGTTGGCGTAAAATCATTATTGATGATTCAATACCATTTGATGAAAATAATAAACCGTTACTTCCACAAAGTAAACAATCTTATGAATTATGGCCAATGTTATTAACGAAAGCTTTATTGAAAATAGCCTCTATGGAGTAATCATTGATTGAATCAATCATTAATCAATCATTATTCTAGTTGTAGAAATACATGTACCAATACAGAAATAGGGGATTTCAGTACAATACAATGTTTAACTGGATGGATTAAACATACTATTGTAATCAAGTAATAGTTATATCTTTATCTATATCTGACTCTAACTCCCCCCCCACCCGTTTTTGTTTCTTTATAAAAGGAAACATTCCATAGATCAATTATGGTATTACCTTAGTGATTATTTATTAGATTGGGAAAGATTTGATGATGATGCCATAAAACGAAATGAGAAATCTAACAAAATGGAACAAAATGAAATAATACAAAAACTAGAATCTCATGATTTGCCAATCAATAAATCAATAATCAATAAAGAGAAATTGAAAGAAAAAAAAGGTAATAAAAAAAAATAAAAAAAAAATAAATAAACCATATCAATTTAATGATTTATAGGAATAGAAAAAAATAAAGAAATGAATAAAGAGAAAAAAGAACAAAGTAAGTAATGATTAATTAGTAAGTTATTGATAAATTATTCTTATTGATAGGATACTTCAATAGGGCAATATCGATGATCTTATCTTGTAAGAGTTGAATTCATGATGTATTGATGTTGTACATGAATTGCTGAAACGTTATAGACTATAGAGTCGATGAATGTTTCACTGAATTTTATGGATTCGTTGAAGTTAAACATTAATATCGTTGAATGTCGACAGATTTAGTGGTTTAGGGGTTAAGTATTTGCGTGAAAGATCAATAGATTCGGGGTTCGAATCTTGTGAGGTGGGGTCATGTATGCATACTGTTGAGGAGTCTCATACTAGAGTGGAATAGCCGTCTAATGCTTTCAGGTTTTTGATGGTGGTCTAGCTTCAATTGACTCATGATTTCAAATGTTAAAATTACTATAATATCCACAAAAACCCTTTCTGATATTAATTAACATATGCTCACTAGTAACTCGCTTCAAGGGGTATTTCTTGCAATTCTAATGAGAAGTACTGACCAGTAAAGTTTACCCGGGTTTGTTGTGAGATAGTGACTCATTGATGACAATGATGGATGTGTCACACATTTTCGTGGATTGGTTGAAGTTAGATATTAACATCGGTGGATGTCGGCCGGTTTAATGGTCTAGAAGTTAAGCGTTCACGTGCAAGACCAGTAACTCCTGGATTCGAATTTCGTGGTGCGGTATCGTGGATGCACACTGTTGAGGAGTCCCATACTAGAGTGGAATGGCCGTCCAATGCTTTCAGGTTTTTGATGGTGTTCTGGCTTCAATTGACTTATGATCTCAACTATCCAAAATCTTAGTTGTCTAGTCTTTCGTAGTACTCATCGATTTCTTGAAATTAATTTGAAAAAAAGAATTTAGTCATTAGTCAGAGTTAATCCATAGCTCACATATTACATTTTCATGTTAAGTAATTGAACTTTGGATGTCTTAGTATTACACACTGATCACAACCAATAAATTGACAAGGTTCTGAATCTGATGAGGAGCATAGATTTTCTGAACATCGTACATATGTCTTGTTGATATATATATAGTCTATATATATAACTAGAACTCAGTTCAGGGTATACGTTAACAACTGGTTTCAATCATCTGGTATCAAAAAATATTGAGCAACTCTATTGCTTTTATAAACAAGGATTGTTACCAAATCTGTCATTATCAAGTTATAGTCGAATATCGTTTGAGACAGTACGGCAATACCAAGTTATGAATGATTTTGAGATCTTTCTTATACAAAAACTGGATCTAGTGTGATTGAATAAATTGATAACTTCCCTAATGCCAAACTCATGTGGGCATAAGAGGTGAGGACAACAGAACCGTGCAACAGAGTGCTTAGATATCAAACAAGGATAAGTAAAAGTGTAATATCACAGGGTAAATATTGTTTTGCGTGTTAGAATAATTAATAAGAATAGGTGTAAATCACATGACATTACCATATTTTAAAGACCACAAAGATACTGATTTAAGTCAACATAGTAGTAGTAGTGATAATAGTTGTTGTGTAATGGACGAACATTCAGTTGTGGACAAGCAATCTATTGTCGGATATAAAATTACAGAATATCTTCATAAAATATGTGAACCACAAATTAAATGCTTCATTTGCAACTTACTTACTTACGCCTGTTACTCCTCGTGGAGGAGCATAAGCCGCTCACCAACATTCTCCATCCAACCCTGTCCTGGACAATCCTTTCCATCTCCTCCCAATTCCTATTGATCCTTTTCATATCTGCTTCTATTTCCCGACATAATGTGTTCTTTGGCCTTCCGCTTTTTCACTTCCCTTCAGAATTCCAAGTTAGGGTTTGCCTCGTGATACAGTTTGATGATTTGCGTGAAGTATGTCCTATCCATTTCCATTGTCTTTTCCTAATTTCTTCTTCAGCTGGAAGCTGGTTTGTTCTCTCCCACAAAAGGCTTTTGCTGGTGGTATCCGGTCAGTGGATGTTGAGTATCTTGCGTAGACAGCTATTTATAAATACATGTACATGTTTGATGATGGTTTTAGTAGTTGTCCATGTTTCAGCTCCGTATAATAGAACCGATTGTGTTGACGTTCGTATTGAAGATTGTGAGTTTGATATTGGTTGACAGACGGTTGTTTTGAGTTCCATATGTTGTTCAATTGTAGGAATGCTGTCGTTGCTTTGCCAATCCTCGCCTTTACGTCTGCATCTGAACCTCCTTGTTCATCGATGATGCTTCCCAGTTATGTGAAGGATTCTACATCTTGCAGAGTTTCACCATCATGAATGATTGGATTGGTGTTCTTCGTTTTGAATTTGAGGATCTTGGTTTTGTCCTTGTGTATGCTGAGTTCTAGTGATGCAGAGAATGCTGCTACACTGGCTGTCTTTATCTGCATTTGTTCGTGTGTATGCGATAGGAGCTTTATTTACAAATCTTCCATTAATTATCCTATACATTCTGTATGATTCTTCCAATTCACAATTCATTTCTTTTTCCATTTCTATTTTCTTTAAACTGATCTTCTTAACTTTCTATTGCCAGCCATTCAACTTTTGGTTGGTGTTATATACTACTTATATCGACAGACATAAGTAGCATACACCATAGTTTGTTATAGCCAAAATGAATAGATTTCAGTGAAACTAAACAGTACAAATTGATATTAGGTCACTTCAATACTATTGGTAATAGACTGAACACTAGATCACAATACATGATCATAAAACAATATCACATTATACGTACAACTCATTTATTCAAAGGACGATTGAGAACTAGATTAGAATAGACAATAGATTATGGATATGAAGTAGAGAACAGTCAACACAAGGTAAAATCTGAGTGAATTAACTTTATATATAAAATAGTTTCATATAATTAGAATGGTTAGATATGTCAACTTTCACCCTTTGGCCAATCACAACTTACCTTCTCCAGCATATTAATGTCGTACGAAGTTTTGTTACAAATTCCCATCAATTAAAGAACCACTGATGAGTGGGGAGTATTACAAGGCTACTTCGTCCTAGTTTGGATCTACTAATCAATACGCAAATACGATTGTAAACGAGATTAAACTCAGGTTATTTTTAAGTCATTTAATGATCACGCTACATTTAAAACACTGATTTATACTGAATTCTTGAAGTTCTGATATGACTTTGTAACTGTCAAAGTCCTATCATATTGAAAGTGAGATAGTTATTCATTGATGACATTACAGAGTCGTTTTTGATCATAAAAAATTGATCAAAATTGAAAATTGGAAACTTTCTATACTTATTGAAGATTGATAACTAATACACGCTTGACGGAGAAGCTTTGGAGAATATAAAAACCTTTACATATCTAGTCAGCATTATTGATGAACATGGTAGATCTTATACAGATGTGAAAGTGCGGAGCGGTAAAGCAAGAGCAGCATATTTACAATTTAAGAACATCTGGAACTCAAAACAACCATTAACCAACACCAAAGTCAGAATTTTCAATACAAATATCAAGACAGTTCTACTGTATGGGGCGGAAGATACAAGTGTTTAATAAGAGTTGTCTACGTAAAATATTTTTGATCCGTTGGTCAGACATCATGAGCAACAACCTACTGTGGGAGAGAACAAACCAGATTCCAGTGGAGGAAGAAATCAACAAGAAGTGCTGAAAGTGAATGGGACACACATTGGGGAAAACACCCAACTACGTTACACGGCAAGCAGTCACATGGAATCCTCAAGGCTAAATGAGAAGAGGAGGATCAAAGAACAAATTACGCCGAGAAATGGAGACAGACATGAGAAAAATGAACAACAATCGGATAGAACAGGAACGGAAGGCTCAGGACAGAGTGGGTTGGAGAATGCTGGTCGACGGCCTATAATACTCCAGTGGGAATAATAGGCATAAGTAAGTAACTAAACTAAACGTTTATTACAATTGACATTATTCAACTGATAAATACTGGTTTGGATTCTTTTAAGACATGAATCTAGTTGTTAGTCCATCTACCAGTAATTAGATTTTGAATATATTATAACGTTTTCTCTTTATTTTACTCATTCTATATATTGTTACATTTAGTTGGGCATAATACAACAGAATTAATGAATCCTAAGATTCCTGAAACTATAATATTTGCATCGTGTAAAAATACAGTTTCATCATTGGCATCACTTGTTCCTTCAGCATCAAAGGTTAGATTAATTCTATGATATGATTGTTAGTTTATTGAGTTTATTATTTAGTTACTAATCAGATTGTTATTTTCGAGTTGATATGAGAATTCTAACTTGGCAACCGATGATGATCTATGTATAAGCATTACATAAATTTCTATTCATTTTGTATTATCCTTATATTGTTAGTTATTTAATGTCATTGATTGAAGCTAGACCACCATGGAAAACCTGGAAGCACTGAATGGCCGTTTCGTCCTAGTATGGGACTCCTCAGTAGTGCGCATCCACGATCCCGCACCCCGTGAGATTCGAATACAGGACATATCAGTTTCGCATCAGGCACTGATCATTAGGTAAATTTTATTGATTTCTTAAATTGTCAATTCAAGAAAGGAACTAACATATACGGTTTAGGAATTTAGATTGATATCATGAATGGATGAATATAAGATCACCATTGAAAATCTGGAAACACTGGACGACCGTTCCAATCTAGTATGGGACTAATGAACAGTTCGGCATCCACGATTTCACCTCTAGACCACTGAGTCGGCATTCAATGGTGTTCTTAACATTTTAATTCAGTTCATTTTAGACATTTTTGATATTAAGTATGTGTGAGGACGGTCAACGGGTGAATTCAAGGAAGCTTTAAGAAGCTCAGAAAAAATAGAAGGTATTCCATCCAGTAATTTTTTGAAAGAACATTCCAGAATCATGACGTGTAGCTTCCCTATTAAAAAAGTACTAAAAACTACTGTATGCGGGTTAGATGACTAAAATGATGATTTCACTTTTAATAAAAACTATAAATACCTTAGAGTTTTGTACTATATTTGACACTGTTTGAAACAGCCTTCCTTCTCAATCGTCTTCTATCTTCTTATTTGTGACTTGGAAGGTTCTAGCATCTAAATGCTCGAGTCGTATGCGGTATCTCAAGGATCTAAGCCCTAGATATAATAGTATGTACATTTGTATCAGAAGGGGTTTTGTGGTGATTGTATTAAGTTCAACAATTGAGATCATGAATCAATTAAAGTTAGACCACCATGGAAAACCTGGGACCACTGGACGGCCGTTTCGTCCTAGTATGGGACTCCTCAGCAGTGCGCATCCACAACATTTGTTTTATTGATTAATATTATTGTTTTAGATTGTAAGCAGCTGACTAGAGCTCTTTATCCAAGTGTTATACCCAGACGAGAATAAATGAGTAGTAACCGTTAGGAATTACTTATGGACTAATATTATAAGAATATTCTCATTGTACGACTATATTATATGTACATTCATATTCCTTTCATTAGAAGCTTCCATTTGACCTATTGGTTACTGTTATATGATTTACCACTCTTAAATTATTCCGAATCTATTAGTTACAGTCTCTCACAATCACAGTCAGTTTATGAATTGATCTTGTACAAATATTATTTTCTATTTTATGGTATGATCTGGTCTCTTTAGCTTGTATGATAAACTCAGTATGTTTGAAATATATGAATAGTACCGTGGAGGCTGAGATAGGCTTTCTGAACTCTAATAGGTAGAGCTAGGTGGGTAGAAAGACCAATCGAAACTCTAGACTACTTGTACTGGTGTATGCATCATTAGTTTGATTATATAAATCAGTGTATCTCATTTGGTAATCGTATTTCGCGATAATCTTATAGTCTAAGGACGTAACAAAGACTATAAACGGGAAAAGTTGTATGAAATATTAATTAAATTATCTGGTAATGGTCAGTCAGTCAGTCAGTCAGTTACAGCGTAGAATCAGGCACGTACATACATCGGTTCAAGTTGCCACACCTCGTTAGCACAACAAGATGAACACCGGATTGATAGAAGCAGTTAACTCAATGGTGTAATATATAAAGCAAAGATTTTGATGGAGTTTTGTTCTCTGAGCTGGATGGTTTGGTCGTGGAGCTTTCTAGGATCACCCTACCGTACATACAAGGAATATCAGAAACTGCAACGAGACTGCTGAAAACCTTCGGGATAGGTGTGGCACACAAACCAACAAAATCACTACAATCAATCTTATGCAAACCAAAAGATGAAATAACAAAGGAGAACAAATCAAACATTATCTACAAAATAAATTGTACCAACTGCGACAAACACTACATCGGACAAAGCGGACGCCCCCTCCACCTACGCCTACATGAACATCAATTAGCAGTCAAACGCCATGATATCTCTTCACTTATTTCAATACACGTGGATAACTACGGACACTCATTCGATTGGGAAAATGTAGAAATCTTAGACAGAGGAAACTCCAAAAACACCAGAGAATTTCTAGAAGCCTGGCACTCAGGTCAATCAGCAATCAACAAACATATTGAAATCAATCCAATTTATCAACCAATCAGGAAAATCATGCATATATATAAGAACAAAAATCAAAACAATGGGAGACACAACCAAAACAAAGAAGTGAACAATGATAAATTTAAGGTCAACAAGAACCAATCAACATCGAGGTGCACAGAACAAGCTGTGAAACACATAAGGAGAAAATCGAACACTTCACTTCTATCTGAAGTTTGTGCTGATGATGTCGTTCAGAAGAACGATGAAAGCTCCACGACCAAACCATCCAGCTCAGAGAACAAAACTCCATCAAAATCGTCCACATGAGCTACAAATCTTCTTCATCATCTCAAAAGCAAAGATTGCATATAAGGATATAGTACAAAAAGAAAGAAGATAATATGAACTGTAAAGTATAGGTTATTACTTATATATGTTTTTTTACAAGTAATCAATAATACATTTTATATAAAATTTCTTAATATTTAAGGAGGAGATTACAATGAAACTTAAACAATATGGATTCACTTATACAGATTCATATCCAATTCGTATAGCTAAACGTCGTACTATACCACTTATTCCTCCATCACCTATACAATCTACACCTCAATGGAAGTTGATCAGACCAAGACCATCTGATTTTCCATTTGATTCATCTAACAATAATAATTTACAATGTAATAAAGAGAAAGAACCTATACGTTCATTACTTCTATGGACACCTGTACAAGAGCATATATTTTATGAACCAGAGAAAGTTATGTATGTTATAAGTATTGATATTAGATTTTGTTGTAATGATTTGTATTAAGTGTAACTATCAATCAACTAGAGATGGATACACGTGTTTCATCCGATTCGAACTCTCATCAACTGTATGTACCTACATCCCAGAGTTGATATTCACTCCAAGAATCGAAATGAATACTGTTCACTTCAAATACTATCAAGTTATCCACTTAGCTACTCAATCCAAATAGTCACTGGCTTGTGCAACCAATTCTAATGAATTATCATTTACATAGATTTGATAAGCTAAATTTTTAATTTTAGATTATTAACCAATTAAAGTCGATAAAGTATTGAAATGAATAAATGGATAGATTGAATTATTTTGTTTAAAGGATTATTTCTCAAATCCAAACCGTATTATTAAGCCATTAACTGATCAAGTAAGCATTAAAACAAGCTAATGCTTTTATTACAATATACTGAAACCAAATAATGTCAGTCAGAACAACATAGAACTTCGTACGTACGTATGTACATCAGTTCAAGTTGCCATATCACATTAGCACAAAAATGTAGTTATCAATTCAATTACCACACTGGTAGAGGTGGTAAGAGTATAAGTAGTAATCGGAAAGATTAAGGTTTGAAGATGTTATTCAAGGAGTATAATCCAGTGAAATAAATTTCGAAAGAGAAAAGAATGGACACAAAGAATTCAGGAGATTAGAATTTGGGAGAACACAAAGAGTGGATGAACCTACGCCATTGCAAACGATTTTGAGCCATGTCATTCAACATCTCTAACCATCTGTTGTTATCATCTCGCGGATCCCAATCAGGTTGTCTATACCTACCAACATGGCTAAGTCCAGGGATTGAACTTCTACCAGGAGATTCACTTAGAATATGCCAATGACATAGTTCTATTTGGTGAAGACGCTGACAAAATGCAGTCTTCTGATCACTATAAGCAACAATGCTAGCATGTTCGGGATGCGATTCTCCCCCCTCGAAATGCAAAATGATAAGGAGAGAGGTAGTCGAGCGTGTCGACCACTTCACTTATATTGGGAGTCTCATCAGCCCTTGCGGTCTGGTGTGACGAAATCTCAGCACGGATAGAGAAGGCTCGACTAGCTTTTGCCAACTTGCGTCATTTGTGGCGTGGGCGAGATATCCGTCTATCAAACAAATGCAGGGTTTACTGCGCAGCAGTTCGTTTTGTCGTACTTTATGGCTGTGAAACATGGCTGGTAAGAGTAGAGGATATTCGTAGATTACTAGTATTCATTCATAAGTGTCATTGAAGCATTGCTCGTATATCCTGTGACCACCGAGTAAGTAATGCAGTTGTTAGGAAACGAGTACTGGGTAAGGATGACAAATCAATTGATGAAGTAGTGAAACTTCACTAGTTGAGATGACTGGAACATGTGTTACGTATGGTCAACCACCGACTGCCCCGACGTGTGGTGTTTTATGGTGTAAGAGTAGGTTGTTTTAGGACTGCCATTAATCAGTCTCTTGTTGGTATATCTATATTTTGTGCGGACTGCCTCGATATTACCTTAAGTCAAAAACATTCTAAGCAAAGATGGATAGGGGCTAGCAGTGGAATCCAGTTTGACACGCGTTTAATCCTATTTGAGTTCTTGTCAACTGAATGTATCTGCATCTCAGAGTTGATGTTCACTACGATACTCGAACTCAGTACCGTTTCCTTCAAACGTCATCATGTTATCCCCTCAGCTACTGAGTCCTGTTGAATGATATAGTTCACTAGTCTGGAAACACTTCAAAACCAATTTATCGACTATTTTCACCCTTAAACTAATAAGTTGAAGTTTTATATTTAAATACAAATTATTATTACTCCTTTTATTTATAGAACAAGTCCGCCTACTTCTACTGCTGAATCAGTTTGTATGTCAAGTTATTCACCTGATACAGGAAAACAAATTAGTGGGACATTAAAAACTAGATCAAATTCTCAAGCATCACCAACACGTCGTCGACGTGAATCCATTTCAAATAATCCAAGTCCATCTAGATCTCAAGTTAGTAAAAATTTATTCATGATTCATGAAAAATAAGTGGAAATTTAAAGATCATTTATTAAAAGGAATTTATGTTACCTAGGAAACATTGAAACGAGTTAGTATTGGATAGTTCTTAATAATCAAAATGTTTTATAATTGAACTGATCATTACGATCTTTTAAGGTAAATCCTGGAGTAAATATCAACTCTGGAATGCAGGTACATTCAACTGACGAGTTCCAACTAGGACGAAACATGAGTCAAACTGGATTCCACTGTTAGCCACTATTCATCTTTGTTCATAATTCTTGTGAATTAAGGCAATATCAAGGCAATCGGTACAAGATGTAAATATGCTAACAAGAAATGGATCAGTAGCTATCCCAAACATCAATGGAAAGATTCGTTATGGACTATTGATGTCTAATTGTTAGAATTTATAGCTGATGTCAGTTCGTGATGAAAACCCTAAATCTAATTCCTAACCTTAACCATCAACTATAATTGATAGTTTGAATCCCTTACACTGCTTTATAACCCTCATTTTGTCTTAGTTACTAGGTGTGCACTGTCAAGATCACTTAAGTGTCGCTCAAAGGTCGTTCCATAGATTATAGTCTCACCACTAAATTTCATGCTAGCTGACATTTATCAGTAGGATATACTTGTAATCTTGAAGAAATAGATTACCCCTGATAGAGGTTGATTTCATTTTATTTACCTATTCATAGCTAGTGATTAAAATGACATATATGTATCCTAGAGTACTAATTTTCTTCAATTATCTTTTCTAGAAAAGGGGTTCACGTGAAGACATACTAAAGAAAGGTAAGTTACAAAATATAAACCACCCTATAAAGATATGATGACTAGTATAGCAATTGTGAACATTGAGGATGTTGTAAATACTCTGGTACATTGTGACTTATCCCATTACAATTAAACACAAACCATCTTCAACTGAGAAGCTATTTCCATTAGTTATTTAGAATGATGAGTCTATTTTTAACGAGTATCACATCAACAACTCAGGTTCTGAGTTCGAACTCCGTGAGTGGGATCATGGATACACACTGTAGAGAAGTCCCACACTAGGACAAAACGGCGATTCAGTGTTACTAGGTTTTCTATGGTGGTCTAGCTTTAATTGACGCATATATTCAACTATTAAAGTGCTATGATATCCACAAAATCCCTCTCTGATTATAATTATCGTATGCTCATAAGTGACTATCTCCAAGAGGTATTTCCTGGAGTTCTAGTAAGTCTTTTATTCTACAACATATAGTATTTCACTGGCTGAAATCATGAGTCAATTGAAGCTAGACCACCATGGAAAACCCGGAAGCACTGGAAGACCGTTTCGTTCTAGTATGGGACTCCTGAGCAGTGAGCATCCACGATCTCGCAACCCGCGGGATTCGAACCCAAAACCTACTGGTTTCGCGCGCGAGCATTTAACCGTTAGTGAGATGTCGTTACCAGTGGAGTTCAACCAGGTCTGTTGTGAGATAGGAACTCACTGAAGACAATGGTGTACGGTGGCACAACTTAGTGGATTGGTTGAAGTTAGACATTAACAACGTTAGGTGTCGGCTCAGTGGTCTAGTTGGTTAAGTGCTCGCGCGCGAAGCCAGTAGGTCTTGGATTCGAATCCCTCGGGGTTCGGAATCGCGGATGCGCACTGCTGAAGAGTCCCACAATGGGACGAAACGGCCGTCCAGTACTTCCAGGTTTTCCATGATGGTCCAGCTTCAAATGACTAATGACTTCAACCAGTGAAATTTCTAAAAATCTCCACAAAACCCATTCTGATACTATAGTATTTATTGTTACATTAATTAGAGTGAAAATGTTTAGTCCCTTAGAATTTACTGTCTTTGCAGGATCTTAATGATGATCAATCAGAATGAAGTTTGATATTCATTGGTTGAATATGAACAATATCGATGAAGGATCTACTGTGGATTATCTAGACTTAAAGATTATCAAAAATGTTTTTTCTTAATCCGATGATCTTTTGTGATTATTCTGTAATAGAACAAAAATGAACGATCAGCAAGATATTTCAACGTGAAAGTCTATCACGAGTGAATCTATATTCATTGAATCTAAATGAACTTTAAGATAAATTTCATTATCGTTGGTTTGATGAATCGTTGACACGCAATTAACAAGGGAAACTCCATCAAGATAGTTTACATCATGAGTCGATGTAATCTATACAACCACTGAAAGTTGGAAAGTTTTGGACAGGTGTTTAATTCCAGTAGGAGTTTCTTCAGCATTAAGGGTGTATGACCTAATCAGATATTGAATCTATAAACTTAAAGTCTGTAGATCCTAGGATTCTTTGTATGATGTTACATGCCTTTAAATTTCACAAATAAATATCTACTCAAATACCCGTATTTTTATTGATCATTCATGGTCACCAAATTGCTCACATACGGTACTCTATTTAAGCCTTAGCGATTACTTACTTACTTATGCCTGTTACTTTTAATGCAGCATAGGGCGCTGACCAGCATTCACCAACCCACTCTGTCCTGAGCCTTCCTTTCTAATTCCAGCCAATTCTTGTTCATTTTTCTCATGTCTATCTCCATTTCTCAACGTAATGTGTTGTTTAGTCTTCCTCTTTTCATTTGGCCTTGAGAGTTCCATGTGAGGGCTTGTCTTGTGACGCACGAACTTGGGTGCTTTTCTCGATGTGTGTCCTATCCACTTCCAGCGCTTCTTCCTAATTTCTTCCTCCACTGGAATCTAGTTTGTTCTTTCCCACAGTTGGCTGTTGCTAATAGTTTCCGGCCGACGGATGCAAAGTATTTTGCATAGACAACTGTTAATAAACACTTACATCTTCTGGATGATGGCTTTCGTAGTTCTCTAAGATTCCACCCCATACAGTAGAACTGTCTTGATATTTGTATTGAAAATTCTGACTTTGGTGTTGGTTAATGGTTGTTTTGAGTTCCAGATGTTCTTAAATTGTAAATATGCTGCTCTTGCTTTATCGCTCCGCACTTTCACATCTGTATAAGATCTACCATGTTCATCAATAATGCTGCCCAGATATGTAAAGATTTTTACATCTTCCAAATCTTCTCCGTCAATTGTGATTGGATTGATGCATGCTGTGTTGTATCGGAGAATCTTGCTTTTGCCTTTGTGTATGTTGAGATGTACTGCTACTGAGGCTGCTGCTACACTGGTCGTTTTCTCCTGCATTTGTTGTTGCGATTGCGATAGGATAGCCAGATCATCTGCGAAGTCTAGGTCGTCCACTTAGCGGCTACAGTGTTAGTTATTTAAATTGTGAGTTTATTCATATTTTCGAATGATCATCCATACCTCTAAATTAATAAAGAAAAATGTACTTCAGGGATGACAAGTAAATCAAAAGAAGCTAAAGGACAGAATAAAACTCCAGAAACAAGTGGAAGTAGTCAACAAAATTCTAGTTCACGTACAAACAATTCATTACACATGAAATCATGCAGTGAAGATATTGTACCTGAAGTATCAATAACAACTAGTTCTGTAACGAACCCTAAAGAAATATGGCTTGATATAAAAGATTTTTGTGAAATATTCAAGTAAGTTAATCTTTTGTAAAAATCATTTTTTACGATGAAGTATGGATTCAAACGTTTTTAGACAATAAACATTAAATGGATGCGTACTGCTGAGGAATCACACAATAGGACGAAACGGCCGTCCAGTGCTTCCAGGTTTCCAAAGGTGGTCTAACATCATCAATCAGTTCATGATCTCAATCGAAAACCTAATAAACTCCACAACCCCTATACTAGTAAATATGAAATGAGTTGTAATTAGAATAAAAATATTAAAGGCAATATCGAGGCAATACACACAGAATACACCACATCACACAAGCAAGTGGCTATTAGGACTTAGTAGCTAAGTGAATAACACGATGGCGTTTGAGCCAAACCGTACAGAGTTCGAGTCTCAGAGTGAACATCAACTCCGAGATGCAGATACATTCAGTTGACGAGCCCGAAACAGGACGAAACGTGCATGCTGGATTCCAAGGTAACTTGAACAGGATGTCCATATACCAATAAGAGACTGATCAGCTGTAGTCCTAACACAACAGTGGGAACATTCAAGTAAGGAACATGGACTAAACGTTTTATAACATTTTGTTTAATTATGATAATCATCATAACTTTTACTGACTAAAGTTACAGTATTGATATCGTAGATAATCTTTGACATACGATTCGGCGAGACTCTAATTTATGGACGACCTTTCAACGAAACTTAAGCTACCTAGAGAATTATTAGTCAATCAGCAAACAGTCAGTATAGAGTAAAAATATGTTATACAAAACCAAGGAAATAAAGTGGATACACTTCTTATACGTGGTTCAAAAATTTGTCAGGGTTAGAAAGAGGTTCAAAGGTTCTAATATCGTAATGCATGCAGTAGAGGAAATCATCCATACGGCTACAGAATAATCGGCCTCTGGAGCCATGATAAAGTCTCAAAAACCCTCTCAGCCTCCACCACATAGTTTCAATATTGTTTATGTGCACTCCGGTTGTTGATTGCACAAAATACTACTTGTGGATAACGACACGATACACATAACAAATCTATGTAAGAGTCTGTACGCTTTCCAAACATCCGTATAGATTGTAGTACCTAGCTGCAGCTAGTGTTACTGGTGCTTTTATTATCCAGTTCGCAATAATTGTCGTAATTTGCCTTACTTAGGAATTATATATGGGGTTTTCATCGCGAATTGACATCAGCTATAATCCCAGGAGTTTATTTAGCCAAATGGATGAAAGGTGTTCACGTTCAAATCCGAGATCTATTATCTTATACCTGATTGATTCGTCCACAAATTATAGTCTCGCCGTTTTATTTGTTATAGCCGCTCAATGATCACGTTTTGTACAAAATTCCCTTTAAACCGATCGTACGTTAGGCTTAAGCACTGATGTTGGCACCGTAACCTTGAAATCTCTTAAACGCCACTGATTGGCTCGTCCATAAATTAGAGTCTCGCCACGAAATCTACTCTGATTCCAAGATAATTGTAATTTTATTTGTTATCTAGTAACTTCAAAAGTTTAAAAATACATTCGTATTTCATTTAAATATATGAAGTCTATTTCTCATAAACCTTCTATTATCATAATGTTAAGCAGTTAATGATCTTCTTAAAGATTTTCTTAACCTATGTTACGTTCTGATCGACATTAGTCAAGACAGTATCTTCTAACACAGTAGGATTGCTCTAGAACTGGGATGCTACATCAAATTATCATGGAGTAATACCAATTGTTATCTCATGTATTTCTTGATTCTGATCATATTCTGTTGATCATAATCTGATCCTTTGGAGAACTTCAACTTCTTCAGGATTGTAGTTGTATTCCATTAGCAACTGTTAGACTAGCATGAAAATATGGAATTAATTAGGATTTCTTGTTAATTGTTTTCAAGTATCTAATGTCAAACTCAAATCACCTTGTGATTAGTGATCTCATGGTAACGTTGATTCGAACTAAGGATTAGACAAGATTTCATTGGTTAATACTCAATGATATCTTAATGTATTCGATAGAACAAATTATAATTGAAGTTTATTTACAAAGACCATAGTTTTAATTAGAGTACTTTTATTCTGAATTAATTATTATGTAAATCATCAATTTTGCTCAACTTCATCATAAACATACTGATGGAAATAACGTTCTCGTCGACTGAATTCTCGGGCATTGATCTCCAACCAGAAGGTCCACTTATCGACTCACTATACGCAGCTGATATAGTACTGTTTGGTGAAGACGCTGATGAAACACAGCGTTTTGGTAGCACTGAGGGACAATCCCAGAATGTCTAAAATGAGTTTCTCCTTCTCTAAATGCAAGTTGTTGCTTCAGAACTGGCTTGCATCAACATCTGAACTAAGGATATGAAGTGAAGTAGTCGAAAATGCTAACAATTTCACTTATCTTGGAAGTCTGATCAGACCTAATTAGTTAGTGTCTGAATAAAACTCAGGACGGATTCATAAGCCGTGCTTGGCTTTTGCCAACTTACGTCACCTATGATGAAGGCGAAATATCCGTCTACCAATTAAGGGATAAATATGCTGCGCAGCAGTTCGTCTTGCTCTACATTACGGCTGCGAAATATGGTCATTAAGGATAGAAGATACCCGTAAGTTACCAGTATTTGACCACAGATGCATTAGAAATATTGTTTGCATCTGCTGGTACCACCGGCTAAGTAATAGTGAGGTTAGAAAGATACAGGGTATTTGGAAATGATAATGGTAAATCAGTTGATGACATCATGAATCTTCATCGACTGAGATGGTTGAATCACGTGTTACGAATGCATGAACACCGATTACCACGACATACAATGCTGACTAATGTTGGTGATGGTTGGATGAGAGTTAGGGACGGTCAAACCAAAACGTGGTGTCACACCTTGAAGTCACTAAATTCTAGTGTGAGTCATGTTGATCGCTGCAGACTACTTGGTTGGTGTCCGTGTCACTATCATAATCAATGGTTGGAGATTGTGTGTGACATGACTCAGAATCGATCGATCACAATGGCGTCAGTGTATACACTCTCTGTCTTTCCTTAAGTTGTCAGATTGAAATCGCTTCATATCTTTCTTTGTATCAACTAATTCTTTCTTTCTGTACTATATCCTTACATAAAATCTTTCATTTATATATTACTACTATTGAATTGACTACTTCTATGAATCTGGTGTTCGTGTTGTTGTGCTAATGAGGTATTGCAACTTGAACTGATGCTTATATATGTTCCTGGTCCTTTGTTGTAGCTGACTGACTGACAAATCATCATTTGCATATCTTCCCTTCTGTATGCCCATTTTGTCGAATTATTAAACTACTACATCCACTAATAGTCAGTTCACCCAATTGTAACAACATGAATGACTTTCGTTTTACTCCTTATCCCCACTAAAAACACTGATTCTAATTGACACACAAAACTTTTCTCCGGCTTCATCCTGCACAATCAGAGTGCCAAAAAACTCCAATTCATTCTGCATATATTATGGCCTAAAACTTACACAATAGTATACATTAATTACTAGACTACAATACGTAATTAGTATGGAATCTCAAACCGTACATAACATGAATTTATAATCTCACAAACACATTCAAGGTGAAACTTCTTTCATAACTCCAGATATTCAAAGGTTAGGTGTTCATTTGAGTTATTATTGTACCTTACTAGGATAAAATGTAATATGATAAACATTCCGTATTTGTTATTTATTGTATCGATTGCCTTATCCAGATCATATCTTGATCAGAATGTATTGTCATTCTACATTAAAATTACAGTAAACAAATAAAGTACCTGATTTACATATCAATAACGTTAATATTACTACATCAAATAAGCGTACTTATATATATATATATATGCTTCATTTATCTCAAGTATATATAGCTACATACCGATTGAGCTAGGGATAAACTATTTGAACTTAGTAGCTCATTTGATCGCTTGAAAAGAAAAGGAGTTCTAATGATAAGCCGTAACCAGTGGGGCTGATGCGTGTCGGGTAGAGATAAGTATCTACCTCAGTACAATCGAAGGTGTTCGCGCAGTTTCATGGATTGGTTGAGGTTTGACTAAAGGCCCTGGGTTTGAATCTCACGAGCGGGATCGTGAATGCGCACTGTTAAAGAGTTTCACAATAGGACGAAACGGCCGTCCAATGCTTCTAGGTTTCCAACGGTGGTCTAACATCAATTGGTTGATGATCACGATCAGAAACTTATTAATCTCCACAACCCTATACTGATCAGAAGAAATATATTAAGTTCGACTCTCAATCCGAATACGAATATAAGAGGTAGATCCGTTTGGTGAGTTCTAAACAGGATGAAACACACCTTATATATTATACTGTCGGCGTTAATCCAACTTTATTATAAGAATGCCTATATTTGTAAATAGTATTTGAATCTCTACTATCATGTTATATATCTCATATAGTTTTCTTTTTAATGAATCAATTCAGGACAGTGACCATTTATCATAAGCCAAATACATATTCAATTGTGAAAACATATTCCAATTTAAAAGTGAGTCAATCCAATGTATGATACAATTTTTATGACTTAACATATTGATACAAATCTTTATTTATTTAAACATATAAACATTAGTACATGAAGGCTGGGATACTGCTCGGGTGCTCAAACCAAAACAGGCACTTTTCTTAAGGGCCACAACTACAGCTTTTGACCCGAAGGCCTGATTCACAAGGCAGTGGAGCAACCCAAGGAAATACATTCTCATGGTAACCGGTAACCAACAATTGGTGCATATACCTTTTGTTTCCTTAGGATCCTGAAGCCCATGTGTACCAGCTGTTTGGAATGAGGGTTTTCCAACTTCCCTAGGTGGATCCTCTATATTCACCAACCTGGTTAGAGCGCCGGACATTCACTTTTCGTCCTCTCAATTTTGTAAACAACACCCCCACCGCGAGAAGTCAGTGAGTAGGAATTTCCTGGAAGCGGTTGTATGCACGTGGACACTTGAGAGCATTTGGAGAGGGAGAGCCTAATCTCTCCACTCTCGGCCGTATCAGGGCATTTGAGGGCGATACAAATCTGATCCATGGATGTATGAAATAGGTGCACACACAAGAGGAGAAGAAACTTTGATCTCTTTGAATGTTATTATTCAAGCGATCAATGACATCAAATCAGTTTCGTGTCCTAACAGTATTCTTAATTCTAATATCCACTTTTGGAACTTTATAGTTTTTCTGAAGAACTCATTCATAATTGATATCACGAACCGAATAAAGTTAGACATCCATTATGAACCAGGAAATACTGGATAGCTATTTTGTTCTAATATGAGACTTTTCCGTAGTGATACATCCATGATTTCAGCAGTAATCAAACCAAAGATTTTCGATCTCATAGACAATGCCTAAAGTACAGATCATACATACTTACTTACGCCTGTTACTCCCCATGAAGCTTAGGCCGCTAATCACCATTCTACAACTCACTCTATCCTGAGCTTTCCTTTTCAGTTCTATCAAATTGTTGTTCATTCTTCTCATATCTATCTCCATTTCCTATAAACTACCTAGATTTGCCATAAAAAAAGGCATTCTATGATATTGTATTTCAATTTATTTCAGCCATCTGATCAATCAAAAGTACATTATTTATTTTGTGATAGTATTCAACCATGTGAAATTATTCTTCAATTCTCAGTTATTTATCAATGGCCATTACCTATTGCTAAACGTTTAACTCCATCTACTTATTCACGTGGTATTACTTGTATGCCTGAAACAGATGAAACATCAACAATACCAGTAAATGAACATAGTAGTACACATTTCTTACCGATAACTACGACATCAGGTATGTGTACAAAATTTAGGTTTGTTTTCATTATATGGGTCTTTAGTAGTGTTATGAATGTCGTTCAGATAAGTATGTACATTTTTAACCAATGAATAACGCGATAGAGTTTGAAGTGAAAAGTACTGGGTTCGAGTCCCTTTCGGAGTGAACATCAACTGTGCGATGCAGGTACATCCAGCTGATGAGTCCAAAATAGGATGAAACGCGCATCAAAAACTCGATTCCACTGTTAGCCACTATCCATCTTTGCTTAAAAAGCTTGTGACTTAAGGCTATACCGAGGCAATCCCCACATGATGCACATATTCCAACATTAGACTGATCACTTACAATTCTAAATAACAATGGGAAGATACAAGTCAAATAACACCAAGTGAATTCAATGAACAAACAGTTAAAAGACAAGTTAAATGCAAATTAATTTTAAGGGTTTCACATAACTTATGAATTCTTCAAGAAATCCTAACAGTTTTCTAATCTTATTAAACAAATTCTATGATAGAAACTCGTCTGTTTTACTGTAGATAAACCTTCTTCCGAATTGTGGATAAATGAATGATGTTTCACAAACAATTATTCACAAAGTTTAATACTTGAGGTTATGAATCAATTGAAGCTAGACTAACAGGGAAAATCTGGAAGTACTGGATGACTGTTTCGTCCTATTGTGAGAATCCTCAACAGTATGCATCCACGATCCCGCCTTGCGAGATTCGAACCCAGGATCTATCGGTCATTGGTTTTACGATATTTTTCAACAATCTTACTGAATTGTGAGACAACGATTTAGATAGTTAATAAACAGAAACTTTGATTTGTTTTAGTACTTTCTAAACCATAGAAGTAGCTTTTATTCGGTGAATTAATGACAAGATGTTTTACCTTAGAGTTAAACTTGAACTACGGAATGAAAAACTAAATGATTTATTTGTTGTGTACTAGTTGCATCAAAATGAATAAACATTGAGGTTTATAGGACGAGCTGTGAACCACATTTGGAGAAATTCCAACAGTTCACTTCTACTTGAAGTTTGTACTGATGATGTCGTTCAGAAGAACGATGAAATCTCTACGACCAAACCATCTAGCTTAGAGAACAAAACTCCATCAAGACGATGTGTTTCTTTGTCTGTTAATCATTTTGAAAGATTGAGGAATGTCAATCAAGTGCTATGGAGAGTTATTGCACTGTTCACATCCGTTGCGCCTTTCAATCTGTTATATCTTGAAAAATCGATTTTTCTTGATACTACCGCGTATAACTGAGCACTAGAACACCAAAACCCTTCCAAGTCGCAGTAAGAAGAGAGAAGACTAATGAAAGGAATATTATTCCAAACAGTGTCGAACATAGTACAACATTGTCAGGTATTTATAGTTTTAAGTGAGAACGAAATCATCATTACAGTCGTCCAATCCGCGTACAGGGGGTTATTAGCATTATCCAAGGGGGAAGCTACACGTTGGAATTCTAGAACATTCTTCCGAAAGGTGATTGGATGGAACGTCTTCGGCTCCTTCTGAGCCTCTTACAGCTTCCTCGAGTTCACCGGTGGTCCGTCGTCACACAATCTCAAGTTCTTTGGAAAATACTCGGAAATGCGCATATGTTTTCGCCTACGAATTGACTGAATTCTAACATTTAAATCAGTTGATACAACATTAATGATCTATAAGTAACATGCCCACTGAGAAATTTGATATTTCTGGATGTGTTATGATTAAATAGAAATATCGAAGATCTGTCTAATGCTCCATAATTTTAAGTGATGCCTCAAACGTTATACATTCATGACAAGCACTAATTCAGTCAGTCAGTTACAACAAAGGACCAGGAACATATATAAGCATCAGTTCAAGTTGCAATACCTCATTAGCACAACAACACGAACACCAGATTCATAGAAGTAGTCAATTCAATAGTAGTAATATATAAATGAAAGATTTTATGTAAGAATATAGTACAGAAAGAAAGAATTAGTTGATACAAAGAAAGATATGAAGCTATTTCAATCTCACAATTCAAGGAAAGACAGAGAGTGTAAACACTGACGCCATTGTGATCGATCGATTCTGAGTCATGTCACACACAATCTCCAACCATTGATTATGATAGTGACACGGACACCAACCAAGTAGTCTGCAGCGATCAACATGACTCACACTAGAATTTAGTGACTTCAAGGTGTGACACCACGTTTTGGTTTGACCGTCCCTAACTCTCATCCAACCATCACCAACATTAGTCAGCATTGTATGTCGTGGTAATCGGTGTTCATGCATTCGTAACACGTGATTCAACCATCTCATTCGATGAAGATTCATGATGTCATCAACTGATTTACCATTATCATTTCCAAATACCCTGTATCTTTCTAACCTCACTATTACTTAGCCGGTGGTACCAGCAGATGCAAACAATATTTCTAATGCATCTGTGGTCAAATACTGGTAACTTACGAGTATCTTCTATCCTTAATGACCATATTTCGCAGCCGTAATGTAGAGCAAGACGAACTGCTGCGCAGCATATTTATCCCTTAATTGGTAGACGGATATTTCGCCTTCATCATAGGTGACGTAAGTTGGCAAAAGCCAAGCAAGGCTTATGAATCCGTCCTGAGATTTAGTCAGACACTAACTAATTATGAGACTAAAAACTGCACTGACAAAACATATCCTGCAGCTAAGTTGATTGTCCTGTCCAAAACAACATGTTCTTTGACACAATCAAAGGTCGACAGGTATCCTTTTCATGTTACCACCAACTGTGTATACAAATTTACATGTATCTGCCAAAGCAGTTATATTGGTAGAACAGAAAGGAGAGCCTACGTCCGATTCAAAGAACATATTCCGAACAGTTTGAGATCAAACGGACTAAAAACATTTAGCAGCGCTGTCGCAAGACATCTCATTGACACAGGACATGAAGTCGATATACTGAAGTCCTTCAGGGTGATCAACAAACAATCAAATTCAAACCTTTTGAAATTCGCGGAAGCAATAGCAATCAAACGTTTAAAACCAGATCTTTGTATACAAAAAGAAACAGTAGTAAATCTTTCTTTGCCCTGGTAACATTCACCCCACCGCCCTTTTATTTTATTTATTTTTATTACGTCATTTCAACTCTTTCTGAATTTTATAATTACATCACTCATAACTGACCAATTTCAATTCATATCTCTGTTTATTAACATTAATCTATTTTCAGTTACTTCATTACATAATCGTCTAATGTGTTTTAATTCCATGATTTCTAATCATTATTTCAATTTTCTGGAACCTTCCCTCCCAAACTCTATATATTCGAAACAAAAATTTTATGACCTCATTAACTCTAACGAAATCTTTACCACATTATGTTACATATATTCATCCTTCATCGCCCTCTATTGTATAAGTATGTCAATATCTATAATAACGTTGAATTTCAAATAATTTAGGTTGTAAGCAGCTGATGAGAATCTAACGAAATAAAATGAATTCATGTTAGTCTGCACCAACCTTTGTTCTTACTCTCTTTAAAATAATTAGGTCTGATCAGACTTCCAAGATAAGTGAAATTGTCAACATTTTCGACTACTTCACTTTCTATCCTTAGTTCAGATGTTGATGCAGTTCAGTCGATGAAGATTCATGATGTCATCAACTAATTTACCATTATCATTTCCAAATATCCTGTACCTGTCTAACTTCACTATTACTTACCCAATGATTTTAGCACTAATTAATTTATCTTCATATCTAAATACTATAACATTGAATTATCTTCTATTCTTTTTAGCTTCATTTATTAAAGAGAATAATTCAAATTCACAAAATAATTCACCTGATGATTTACAATCTACAACTTATGGTATTAATCCATCAATACAAACATTACCATCTACATCATCTACATCATCTATATCTAATCATCCATCTACACTTTTAATTGAATCTTATCATTGGAATAAATCAATACAAGGTGATCCAATAAAATATCTTGAAACAACTGGTACTAATTCTATACACTCCTGTACCGATATATGTGTTCAAATAAATAAATCAATAAAATCAATAAAAATTAGGCCAAATTTAGGAGAAACGGCGGACGATTATTAGACATGGATTTTTTTTGTTTTATTTATTCACAGTGTCCTGAAGCGAAATTCCGGAAAAAAAGAGTTGGGGGTTTATTCTGTTGGTGAATGAAACGACAGTTTAAATACTGACAACAACAAAATAAATAATAACTATTGAACAAGAGGTGATTAAATAACCTATTGATTAACGTTTTGAGATTCAAATCAATGAATACTTAGATTGAGCGCAAAGGAAATATCAACAGTACGATGTAGATACACCAGTCTGACGAATAACACTGCTAAAATGTAGCATGAAAGTACATTCAAATCAACAAGAAAATCATAAGTGGAGAAGAGGGATACAAAAAATATACAGTATAAAGGTGTTAATAACTAAAAACAAACACTATGAACTAGTTCTTACTACTGTAATCATTTTGATTCATTTCAGCTAATCTCTTCAACGGATAGTGTACAATTTTTCTGTTACGTAATCCAAATCCACAATTATTAATTTCATGAAACCAATTTGTTTAAAAAACTAGATCATATCTCTAACTTTCACATATCATAAGATTTATCTGAAAGCCGTTATTCAATATTCAGTCTTTATCCATTTTTTTATTCAGAAAACAAATCAATTTTTTTAATTAAAGAAATTTCAATTCGTTCATGAACGAACTGCATCTCTGTGGTATGGCAACTTGAACTGATGTACGTACGTACGAAATTCCACGATGTTACTGACTAACTGACTGACTGACTCATGAACGAAACAATGAATAAGTATAAAACAAACCATAATGTTAATTTCATATTTTATTTTAGATATCTAAATTGTATTATATAATACTTACTTCACGTGACTTTCGTTCTTCACGTGTTTTTTGAACAAGCGCATGAGTTGACAACTGTGAAAGTGTGTAAGGATGGAAAAAACAATTTATCAAATAAAAAAAGATTGATTAAATATAATTGTTAGGGATTTCTAATTAAGTTTGCCAAAAATAATAATAATAACTAACCTTAAAATAGGAAAATTAGAAACTATAAGTATTTTATGGTAAAACAAGAAGGATGAATCGTCCTGTCTTACATTACGGTTAAGACATGATCAATCATAGGTTACTTGTATATGATCATAGATACTTTCAAAGCAGTACTCATGTATACTGAGACCACTAAGTGATTAATGCTGAGATTAGATGGATGGTGTCAGGTAAAGATGATAAATTAGTTGATGATATGGTGAACCTCGATCGATTGTGGCACTTGGGACATGTATTGGAAGACACCCGTAAGCTACTAGTATTTGACCACAGATGCCTTAGAAATATTGCTGGCATCTGCTGGGATCACCGGGTAAGTAATAGTGAGGTTAGACGCAGGGTATTAGGGAATGATGGTAAATCAGTTGATGAGGTTATGAATCTTCATCGACTGAGATGGTTGGGCCACGTATTACGTATGCCTGAACACCGATTACCACGACGTGCAATGCTAAGCGGTGTAGGGGATGGTTGGAAGAAAGTTAGGGGCAGTCAAACCAAAACGTGGCATCAGTCCACAAAGTCACTGACTTCTAGTCTTAACAATGTTGGAAGATGCAGACTACTTGGTTGGGGTCCGCGTGACTTTCGTAACCAATGGTTGGAGACTCTTGGTGACATGGCTCAGAATCGATCACAATGGCGTCGGTGTATACACTCCCTGTCTTCCCTTAAACTAAGAGATTAAAATCACTTCATATCTTTCTTTCTACCAACTAATTCTTTCTTCCTATACTATATCCTTATTGCAACCTTTGACCTAACCACTCCTATGAATCCGGTGTTCATCTTGCTGTGCTAATGAGGTATGGCAACCTGGACCGATGCACATATGTGCCTGGTCCTACGTTGTAGCTGACTGACTGACTGATTGGGTATGTTTAATCACTACCAACCTCGACTCGTAATATTTGCTGGTATAGGGGTGAGTCAAAATAAAGCTAGAAGTAGCTAAACCAAAACTTGGCATCAATTCAAAGAGTCATCGACTACTGGAGTAAGCCGTGTTGATAGATGGAGACCGACCGGTTGGAATCTGCGCGAACATAATAACCGATATCTGAAGGTGTTGAATGATACAGCTCAGAATAGTTTGCTATAATACAGGTGGATTCACTTTGTTTTCTACTGGATCTTGAGTTTTAAAGTAATCTTAAACTGTTTATTCAGTGAACTTATCCGTCACTCATCTTGAATCAGATTTTCTTAGCCTAGTTTTTTCTACTACTACTGATATTGGTACTACTTTCATCATACTGGAACTTTTCTTGAGGATTTCATCTCACCGTGATCATGTGATGTAACAACTTGAACCGATGCATACATCTGACAGGTTTCACGTTGCTTGTGTCTGTATCAAGGAGGATTAGAGATGGAAAACAACAGATTCAACCAATTGGTTAATCGTAAGTAACGCAGAACCTAGTATAAATGTGTATCGGTCCAAGTCTACACGCCAAATCAACGCAGCAATACGAAATTATCAGCTAATTATAATGTACGACAGGGCATAAATATGTAATAGTAAGGTTACGATTATTCACACCAGGATAGTGATAGGATAATAGCAAGTAATAGAAAATGGAGAATAATGTAAGATACAGTGGAAAGCTAGAAGAAACATAGAGCAAGAAATTACACTAACCTCAAGCTTTAGACTCTAAGAGGAGGATACATAACACATATACCATAGTTACTGTGATGATTTTCGGGTCCCATCACATGGCTGAACGTCTCCAAATACATGTCACAATCCCATAGTTTCACACCACGGGATTACTTTAGTTAGACAACTGAAAACCAAGGAGCACTGAACATTTGTTTCGTCATAGTATGGGACTCCTAACAAGTATTTATCCACGACTCTACCTGGAATCGAACGCAAGACCTTCACACCTCACGATGAACATTTAAACTTCATACAACTTAACTGGTATCTGATGGTTCACATCCCTAAACTCAGTTTACTCGTGGTGCTGCGTGACCCAAATTCTAGCCCGGAAGTCTCCGCTCAGTGACACAGACCAGTCCAATGATTAGTGCCTTCGTAAATCGACTCCAAATCTTGATTTGTCCGTTTCTAGAATATTTACAACTTCTGAAGTAATTATCATTTGGTATCGGGATGAGCGGTGGTCGGAAAATGTGATACACATATCTAGGATGATGAGTTTAAGGTATAATACCTCATATACTGATTTATCATATTAACTCAATATCTTCAGCCAAATATAAATGTAAATTACATGATGGTCTAATTATACGCTAGCAATTTTTTGAAGACATGCACAACCAAATACTAGGGATTTAAATATCACTTTACCTTGATAAAAATTACATATTAATCAGTATAATTTAACTATTTTGTGAGAATAAATTATTCACAACGAGATAAAGTTGTAGTGTAATTCGAACGTGAGACCCAGTGGCTGAAGGTTGAATATTTCAACTATAAGTCACAGCTTCACATCGCGGAGTTAAATGCTAAGTACAACAGAATGGCGAATAAAACCAACAGGTTGAGTGGAATTGAAATGACCAGTGGTTATCCAGCTGCTAGCACACTTAGTTACAGAGTCTAAAATAGATAAGGTACTTATAGTTGTTCCACTCAATCACATTCTTCAATTCGCGTGTTGCAGTAAATCGATCGAAATGATAGGGGAAATTTAGACTAGTTGAACTGTCTAATTATATACCAAGAGATTTATATCTTAGGTCAAGGTATTTTGCGCAGTACTATTTACCATATAACTAATACAGAATAACATTAATATACTTGAGTAGTTTGTGATTGTCATGAGACAAAATAATTCAACTGCTGGTGTTAAAGGTAGTAGTTGTCAATCTAATTTCTTGGTACTTGATTCGAGTAAGAAATAAAACTAACAGTCTGGTCTTAATTAACTGGCAAGTGAGTGGCCCATAAAACTCATATACTTCAATAACTTATGACATTTAATCATATTTATTGTTGTATCTAGTGTTTTGTACATAAATATGTGGTCACTAAAAATACTGCATTAGCTAGTTATCTTGTCTTTTGATATCAATCCAATTGTGGCCTGCGTCTACAACTTCGTTTGGTGAACAATTAATCGTCAGTTATATTGTATTATCAATAAATCAACATCCTAATTATCCATTCAACAATTTAAAACCTATTCACCGAACTTAAAACCTCCCGCGCAACAGTACTCCAAAGCAATTTTAAGATGGTAGCTTTCAACTCCCGAACCGATATTTCACACATTATTTTCATTCTCTACTCCAAGTATCATTCCTATAGTTACTAGCGGTATTTCAATAGCACTATGTTCCCCATGTTTTGTTTACAAAATATGAACTAGACACATTCGTATCCTATAGATGAATTACGTTTGTTTTTTACATAATGATTACATCTTACACAGTTTGCATGTAGCCAACAATGATTCTGTGAAATAAAACGAATTTATCACAACCCGCAAATGTTATGTTTGTTAAAATAAGTAAATGAATACATGAATAAAGCATTACCTTTTGGGTATGATCAAGCACTAATGATCGCTTTGATTTGTAATTCCCTTCAAATGAGTACATTTCAACGTATATTTCCAAACTTATAATAGTATAAAACCTTTCCCATTCACAATAATCCAAAAAGGGAAAGTCATAACAGACCTCTTGTTCTTACAGTCCCAAAAACACTAAGGAATAAAAAATGTGGACAGTGTTTTATTATTACTCCTGAGTATATCTACCCTTCAAATAGTAAGGAATCATCTATCCAGGTAAAAAAAGATTAACCACGGACTAAAAAGTTGCTTTCACTTGTGAATTTGTCACTTATAGACCAGATATTGAAGAAGACTTTTCGGTATATTTATTATTAATTTAAACACGAAAACATTGG